TCTTAGTACTTTGACAAAAATGGTGAAAAAGATGGTATCTGCTTTTAAATTGGGTAACACAGAGCTAGGCTTCTGTTAGTTCCCTTCCATTCCTGGTGTTTGCTGGGAGCAAACACTTCCCCAATGCTTGTGGATAATTTGGAGATTAGACTATTATTTTTCTATAATCCTATTATTTTCATATCCCTGTTTTCCTTACCCAAGGTGATGTAATACTCGGCCATCTGCTCCCCTTCATATAAAAGCTACCTCAAGTCCTAGTTTATCTGAGAAGCCTCTTCCAGGGCCCAGCGGGGAGGGTCCCCTGAGAGGTGGTATGCCTGGGGGATGGTGCAAACGCCATGCCAAGCAGTGTGACCTTCAAATTATTATAGTACAAATCACTTTATGGAATAAGCCTCCATTTGCCTCCATTTTTGGGCACTGCAAATGATTTCTTCAATAAAAAGATTTAAATCATTTGCAGTGCCTGAAAGAAGCTAAATGATTGTATTTCAACAGGAAGCTCTGAAGTGAAATATTTATCCTTCCTTTATTTGGTAGTCTCTTTAACGCTTTATTTATAAAGAGATTTATTTATAAATAAAGATTTAAACTTCAGCTGGGTGTGGTGGCTCACGCCTGTAATCCCAACGCTTTGGGAGGCTGAGGCAGGTAGATCACAAGGACGGGATTTCGAGTCCAGCCTGGCCAAGGTGGTGAAACCCTGTCTCTACTAAAAATACAAAAATTAGGTGGGCTGATGGGCACTTGTAATCCCAGCTACTTGGGAGGCGGAGGCAGGAGAACTGCTTAAACCCAGGAGGTGGAAGTTGTAGTGATCTGAGATCTCACCACTGCTCTCTAGCCTGGGTGACAAAGCAAGACCCTATCTAAAAAAAAAAAAAAGTTAAACTTGGGAGGCATGGTGGCTCAAACCTGTAATCCCAGCAGTTTGGGATGTGGAGATGGCAGATCACGAGGTCAAGAGCTCAAGACCAGCCTGGCTAACATGGTGAAACCCTGGCTCTACTAAAAAATTAGTCAGGCGTGGTGGCACGTGCCTGTAGTCCTAGCTACTTGGGATGCCGAAGCAGGAGAATCGCTCAAACCTGGCAGGTGGAGGTTGCAGTGAGGTGAGGTCATGCCGCTGTACTCTAGCCTGGCAATAGAGTAAGGCTGCCTCTCAAAAAAAAAAAAAAGTTAATCAGGTATTACAAGTTTAACTTTGTGTGTGCGTGTGTGTGATTCACCTGCACCTATCAAATAGGAATAAGGGCCAGCTGCATAGGCTCACGTTTATAATCTCCACACTTTGGGAGGTCGAGATGGGAAAGTTGCTTGAGACTAGCTTGGGCAACACAGCAAGAACCCTGCCTTTTTTTTTTTTCTTTGAGACAATCTTTAGCTTTTGTCATCCAGGCTGGAGTGCAATGGCGTGATCTTGGCTCACTGCAACCTCTGCCTTCTGGGGTTCAGGCAAATCTCCTGCCTCAGCCTCCCCAGTAGCTGGGATTACAGATGCCCGCCACCATGCCCCACTAATTTTTGTTTTTTAGTAGAGAATGGGTTTCACCATGTTGGCTAGGTTAGTCTCAAACTCCTGACCTTAGGTGATCCACCTGCCTCAGCCTCCCAAAGTGCTAAAATTACAGGCATGAGCCACCATGCCTGACCCCGGACATAAAGAGTGAAAGGATAGACAATGGAGACTCCTTATAACAGTGAGGGGATAGGAGGGGTGTGGATGATGGGAAATTCCTTAATGGGTACAATGTATGATGATAAATTACTTAATGGGTACAATGTATGTTTTTCAGGTAATGGAGACTCTTAAAGGCCTAACTTAACCACTAGGCAATCTACTCATGTAACAAAGTTGCACTTATACCCCATGTATTTATACAAATTAAATAAAATATAACATTCTTTCTTAAAAACAGTAACATGAGGAAGAAACAGAAGGCTACAATTCTACTGGGTCCTACTTAAAGCCAGAGATATAAAGGAAGATGAGGCCAGGCGCGGTGGCTCACACCCGTAATCCCAGCACTTTGGCCGGCGGATCACCTGAGGTCAGGAGTTTGGGACCAGCCTGACCAACATGGAGAAACTCCGACTCCACTAAAAATACAAAAAAAAAAAAAAACTACTCGGGAGTGGTGGTGCATGCCTGTAATCCCAGCTACTCGGGAGGCTGAGGCAGGAGAATCATTTGAACCCGGGAGGCAGAGGTTTCGGTGAGCTGAGATCGAGCCATTGCACGCCAGCCTGGGCCATAAGAGCAAAACTCTGTCACAAAAAAAAAAAAAAAAAAAAGAAAGAAGAAGATGAAATACCTCTGGCCAGAAAATACTTGTAGTTAGCATTCAAAGCAAAGGTTTTGCCTCCAAGGCCAGGCATGGTATCTCACACCTGTAATCCCAGCACTTTGGGAGGCTGAAGCAGGTGTATGACTTGAGCCCAGGAGTTTGAGATCAGCCTGGGCAACATGGTAAAATTCTATCTCTACCAAAAATATAAAAATTAGCCAGTCTTATAAGGTTGTTTCAAAATAAATAAATAAATTAGATTAAAAAAATTTTTTTTACAAGAATTTAAACTCCATACAATCCAATTATTCAGAAAGACTTTACTAGGGACAGAAAAGGGACATACACAGGATATCTTTTTTAAAACGTTGTCCAGGCGCGGTGGCTCATGCCTGTAATCCAAGCACTTTGGAGGCCAAGACGGGTGGATCACCTGAGGTTGGGCGTTCAAGACCAGCCTGACCAACATGGTGAAACCCTGTCTTATTTAAAAAAAAAAAAAAAAAAAGCAAAATGTTAAATAATAACTGTATAAACAACAGAGGGCAGTAACTTGCTGCTGGAGATTTTATTTACTTAATTTTGCATTTTATTTACATATATCCCTAGTAATGAATTAATCAGAGAGAGCAAAGGAGTTAGTTTCATTAAAATGACCATGCCAGGGTGGGCCAGTGGGAGGGGAGGTGGGGAGGGATAGCCTGGGGAGAAATGCCAAATGTGGGTGAAGGGGAGAAGAAAAGCAAAGCACACTGCCATGTGTGTACCTACACAACTGTCTCGCATGCTCTGCTCATGTACCCCAAAACCTATAATCAAATAAAAAATTAAAAAAAAAAAAAAATGACCATGCCAGTACTTGGGCGGCTCACGGCCAAACATGGGTGAATTTCACTTTCTTGTTTTATTCAATGTATAAGTTACAAATAGCTTAAGATGAGCATCACTGGCTTCCTATTTCATTATTGAAAGAACTCACAAGCCACTAGGCAGCACGTCTTGGGCCCTGATTCATAGAATTTTGGCCCCTGCCTCAAGCTGAGACTGTCCAAGTGGAGATTTCAAATGTGTCATGAGGTTTCCCAGCCAAATTCCTCTTGCACCAACTTGAAAACTCACTATAAAAATAGCCCTTACTGAGGGAGCCTGACCTGTGACAAAGATTTTCTAGCTGGGAGCAGGAACAGGAAGGCTGCTGTTTTTCTTTTTGAAAAATCTGCTTTAATGTCTCTATGATGTGGATTTGCTTTTAAGATTGCATTTTAAAAATCACCCGTATAACTTGAGTCTCCTGATTGAGAATAAAGTTCCTCACTTCTTGGTTCCCTACGGGAGTTAATCCTGGGCCAGATATAGGGTCGAAAGAAAAGGAAAGAGAGAATTCTCTTTTGTTTACTTAGGGAATAAATGTCAGTACAGTGTCTCTCTAGGAAATTTGGAAGATTTCTAGGAAAATCCTGGTGATTAAGAACCCTGGGGTTGGTTTGTGTTCGAATCCTTACTGGAAGGACTTTTAGAAGTTAAGATAAGGTTACTGACAGTTTTTGAGGCTGAGTGTATCAAAAATTTAAGAAATAGCAAACAGCAAATTTTCTAGTGTAGTTTATTTCCTTTTTTAATGTTTTGAACACTTTTAACACAAGGGGAAACAAACTATGAAGCCATATAATTACGTATTCACCAGGTAATAATATATAATTTATTAGGGAGTATGAATGCACAGCCTCTATAGGTATGTGAGCTGGTAATGAGACACAATTTTTTAACTTTAGACTTCCTTCCTGTGTGTGTGTCTTTGGGATTCTGGGTATAACCTCTCTAAGCGATCACGTCAAAGGTCTAAATCTGATGCCTTTGACGAATGTGGAGTTGGGGCCAAATGTCTCTGCCTGTGACATTCCCTTCCTGGCCCTGCCTGCTACCAGCTGGGTGACCTTGGGCAGGGAGCTAGCTTCTCTTGATATCACAGCCCCAAAGTGTAAAATGCCACATTGATACCTACCTCATGGTTTTGGAGAATTCCAAGTAACTCATATTGACCATTTGACCGAGTGCTTTTGTGTTAGTAAATGCTCAGTAAAGGGTGAGTGTGGTGCCTCACGCCTGTAATCCCAGCACTTTGGGAGACTGAGGTGGGCAGATGACCTGAGGTCAGGCGTTCAAGACCAGCCTGGCCAACATGGTAAAACCCTGTCTCCACTAAAAACACACACAAAAAAATTAAATTAAAATGCTCAATGAACATTAGGTAGAATTGGTCACTATTTTTTTTTTTTTTTGAGATGGAAAGAGCGTGCCACCACCCCCAGCTAATTTTTTCTATTTCTAGTACAGATGGGGTTTCACGTGTTAGACAGGATGGTCTAGACCTCCTGACCTTGTGATCCACCTGCCTCAGACTCCCAAAGTGCTGGGATTACAGGAATGAGCACCTGGTCCGAGCTGGTCACTATTATTAGAGCTAAGACTTAATGTCTTGGCCTAAGTTTACTCAACTGGTCTGTCTGAGTCACTGCCACACCCTGAGTATTCATTCTCTATTCATTCATTCAACACCTGTTTATTGAATGCTTACTTTTAGCTTTTTACATTTTTGTTTTACAAATACCACTTCTACATTAGGAAACTAGCAAGAAGCAGAGAAAAAAAACATCACCCATGATTCCATTTATCACAGGTTTGAAAGAGTAGGTAAATGTAATATATTACCTTCTTTTTCTCTGTGAACTCCTCCCTCTACTTTTTGTGTGTTTCTTGTTTTTCTTGAGTTGGAGTGTCAGTTTGTTCCCCAAGCTGGAGTGCACTGGCCCTGGCTCACTGCAACCTCTGCCTCCCTGGTTCACGTGATCTTCCCGCCTCAGCCTCCTGAATAGCTGGGATTACTGGCGTGTGACTCCATGCCTAGCTTATTTTTGTATTTTTAGTAGAGACAAGGTTTCACCATGTTGGCCAGGCTGGTCTTGAACTCCTGACCTCAGGTGATCCACCTGCCTTGGCCTCCCAAAGGGCTGGGATTACAGGCGTATGCCACTGTGACCAGACCCACAATATTTTTCATTTTTTAAAAATTAAGTTGAGATCATAGCAAGTGTTTATTTGTTTTTTAGAGGGAGTTTTGCTCTTGTTGCTCAGGCTGGAGTGCAATGGCGTGATCTCAGCTTACTGCAAACTCCACCTTCCAGGTTCAAGCAATTCTGCCTCAGCCTCCCTGTTTTTTAATCTCATGCTTTTTTTGGTTTGTTTGTTTAGCATGTTAGCATAATACTTTTCCAATTTCATTAAAAAGTCTTGGTGGGGCGTTGTGGCTCACGCTTATAGTTGCAGCACTTTGGGAGCCCGAGGCTGAGAGACCACCTGAGGTGGAAAGTTTGAGACCAGCCTGACCAACATAGAGAAACCCTGTCTGAAAAAAAAAAAAGAGAAACGCTGTCTCTATTAAAAATACAAAATAAGCCAGGCATGGTGGGTGCATGCCTATGATCCCAGCTACTTGGGAGGCTGAGGCGAGAGAATCACTTGAACCTGGGAGCTGGAGGTTGTGGTGAGCTGAGATTGTGCCATTGCCCTCCAGCCTAGGCAACAAGAGCGATACTCCATCTCAAAAAAACAAAAAACAAAAAACAAAAACAAAAACAAAAAAAAAGAAAAGAAAATTTCAGCTCTGAATGTACTGCCTCCTAATCAGTTTCCTATTGTTGGGCATTAGTATAATTTCCAGGTGTGTTTTTCTTTTTCTTTTTGTTTTGCTATTAATAAGTAAAAGTGAGATGAATACTTCTGTATCGATCTTGATCCTTATTTTAGATAATTTCCCTTTCATTCCTCACATTTCTTGAGTGCTTCCTGTGGTCAGGTGCTGTGCTGTGTGCTGGGGATAGAGGAGGTAGGGCTGAGATAGATGTGATCTTTGCTTTTGCAAGTTCATATCCTAAGGGTTGGATGGATACGAAATGTGCAAAGAAGGCCAATACTTGCAGATGGTGCTGCGTACTACCAAGGAAAGAAATAGGGTGTGTGACAGAGAGTACCTGGAAAGGGCACTAGCCAGCTTTTTTGGGCAGGGAGGTCAAGGTAAACTTGTCTGAAGAGATGAGACAGGCCAGGAAAATCAGGGCAGGGGCCAGGGTAAGGCAAATGTGGTGCCGAGAGCTTCAAACACACACACACACACACACATTATTTTTTGACAGATTTTCACTCTGTTGTCCAGGCTAGAGTACAATGGCTTGGTTTTGGCCCACTGCAACCTCTGCCTCCCAGGTTCAAGTAATTCTCCTGCCTCAGCCTCTTGAGTAGCTGGGATTGCAGTAGAGCTTCAAATTTAAGGAGGGACTCACTTGCAGGCTTGTGCAAATGCAAAGTTGGCTTTTGCATGATGCTGGGAGTAGGTGCCTCCTTAAATTTTGCACCCTCAGCAACTCCATCACCTGTCACTTTGCTAGTTCCAACTCTGAGGGAACACCTGCAGGAAAGGCATTCCAGGCAGAGGGAACAGCAAGTGCAAAAATCCAGAGGCCAGAAAGGCTTGGTGTGTTTCAGGAACAAAAACTTGGTTCTCATGACTGAAATGGAGGGGGAAAATCCTAATGGAACCACAGAGGCAGAATCACCAAAAGGAAGAAGAAAAAAATATTGGAAGTTATGAGAGTTGCTCATGTTTGATTTAAATTTAAATGTTATTTTATTGAGATAGAGTCTCACTCTGTACCCCAGGCTGGAGTGCAGTGGCATGATCTAGGCTCACTGCAACCTCCACCTCCTGGGCTCAAGTGATTCTCCCATGCCACCCTCCCAAAGTGCTGGGATTACAGGTGTGAGCCACTGCTCCCCACCTCAAGCAATTTCTTAGTTTTTTTTTTTTAGACAGAGTTTTGCTGCTGTTACCCAGGCTGGAGTGCAATGGCGTGATCTCGGCTCACTGCAACCTCCGCCTCCTGGGTTCAGGCAATTCTCCTGCCTCAGCCTCCCGAGTAGCTGGGATTACAGGCATGCGCCACCATGCCCAGCTAATTTTTTGTATTTTTAGTAGAGACGGGGTTTCACCATGTTGACCAGGATGGTCTTGATCTCTTGACCTCGTGATCCACCCGCCTCAGCCTCCCAAAGTGCTGGGATTACAGGCTTGAGCCACCGCTCCCGGTCTTAACTTCTAACATAGAAATAATTAACCCTCAAAAACACTCAGTGTTGACAAAGGGTGGTGTGAGGACACAGAAGGTATCAGAGTATCATTGGCAGAAACTTCCTGGAAAGGAACTTAACAGTCTGTATCCAAAGACTTAAAATCGTTAATAGCCTTTTCCCCAATAATTCCACCTCTGGGAATCTATCCTGAGGAAATCTGCCACAATCGGAGTGCTTTTTTTCCATTCCCCTTAGGAAACAGTCTCATCTTGCCCAGGCTGGAGTGCAGAGGCACCATTATGGCTCACATCAGCCTGAAACTCCTCGGCTCAAGCAATTCTCCCACCTTAGCCACCTAAATAATTGGGATCACAGGTACAGTCTCCACGTTCACATGCTTAGTTGAATAATATTTTGACTAATAAAGAAAAAGAAAGAAAGGTAGTGCCAGAGAGGTGCCCAGTTGCTCAAGCAATTTCTTTTCTTTTTTTTTTTCTTGAGACAGAGATGGCCCAATCTCCACTCACTGTAACCTCCACCTCCCAGGTTCAAGCGATTCTTCTGCCTCAGCCTCAGGACCACATAGCTGGGATTATAGGTATGTGCCACCACGCCCGGCTTATTTTGTACTTTTAGTAGAGACAGGGTTTCTCCACATTTGTCAGGTTGGTCTTGAACTCCTGACTTCAAGTGATCTGCCCACCTCAGCCTCCCAAAGTGCTGGGATTACAGGTGTGAGCCACTGGGCCCGGCACTCAAGCAATTTCTTACTCGTCTAATTGAAAAAAATTTTTTTAATTTTTTGTAGGGATTGGGTCTCACTATGTTGCTCAGGCTGGTCTACAACTCCCGAACTTGAGGATCTTCCAGTCTCTGCCTCCCATTATTGGGATTACAAGCATGAACCACCACACTCAGATGGCTTTCTTTTCTTTTTAAACAGAGTCTTGCTCTGTCATCCAGGCTGGAGTTCATTGGCATGATTTTGGCTTGCTGCAACCTCTGACTCCCAGGTTCAAGCAGTTCTCACTTCTCAGCTTTCCCGATTAGCTGGGACTACAGGTGTGCGCTACCATGCCTCGCTAATATTTGTATTTTTTTGCAGAGACGGGGTTTTACCATGTTGGCCAGGCTAGTCTTCTGATCTTAAGGGTTCCACCCACCTCGGCCTCCCAAAGTGCTGGGATTCAGGTGTGACCCGCCTTCTCTCTCTCTCTCTTTTTTTCTTTTTTGAGACAGAGTCTCGCTCTGTTGCCAGGCACCAGGGTGGAGTGCAGTGGCGCGATCTTGGCTCACTGCAACCTCCACCTCCCGGGTTCAAGCAATTCTCCTGCCTCAGCTTCCCGAGTAGCTGGGACTACAGGCGCTCGCCACCACGCCCAGCTAATTTTTGTATTTTTTAGTAAAGACGGGGTTTCACTATGTTGACCAGGATGGTCTTGATCTCTTGACCTCATGATCCGCCCGCCTCGGCCTCCCAAAGTGCTTGGATTACAGGCGTGAGCCACCGTGCCCAGCCGACCAGCCTTTTCTCTTTCTTCTTCCCTTCTCCCTGCCTTCCTTCCTCCTTCCCTTCCTTCCCTCTGCCACTCAGGCTGGAGTGCTGTGGCAGGATCATAGGTCACTGCAGCCTCGACCTCCTGGACTCAAGTCATCCTCCTGTTTCACCCTCCTGAGTTCCTGGGACCACAGGCATGCACTACCACGCCGGCTATTTTTTGTAGTCCCCATCATTTAGAACAGGCAGAATCCTCCCGTAGTGAGGGATTGGTGGCCATAAGCAAGGAGCCCAAGGTGGAGGGAGTATGCATGTGTGTGGAAGTATCAACTCCTCATAATCTTCAAGTACTTTTGGTAAGAATTTTTGATTATACAAGTGAAGTATAAAAATGCTTTCTTTGCAACATAAAATGGTAGGTCAAGTTGGGCGCGGTGGCTCATGCCTGCAGTCCCAGCTACTCCAGAGGCTGAGGTGGGAGGATCGCTTGAGCCTAGGAGTTCTGGGCTGTAGTGTGCTATGCCGATTGGGTGTCTGCACTAAGTTCGGCATCAATACGGTGACCTCCTGGAAGCGGGGGACCACCAGGTTGCCTAAGGAGGGGTGAACCGGCCCAGGTCAGACACGGAGCAGGTCAAAACTCCAGTGCTGATAAGTAGTGGGATCGCGCCTGTGAATAGCCACTGCATTCCAGCCTGGGCAACAGAGCGAGACCCCGTCTCTAAAAAAAAAAAAAGATAGGTTAAGACTCCTCATGCAAATAGGGTTTTTAGACACTTGTTCGAGGAGCTTCTGAGCCCACCTTTTAAAAAATGTGTATGCAGGCCGGGTGCGGTGGCTCACACCTGTAATCCTAGCACTTTAGGAGGCCAAGGCGGGCGGATCACCTAAGGTCAGGAATTGGAGACTAGCCTGACTAACACGGTGAAACCCGTCTCTACTAAAAATACAAAATTAGCTGGGCATGGAGGCCCATGGCATGCCTGTACTCCCAGCTACTCAAGAGGCTGAGGCAGGAGAATCGCTTGAACCTGGGAGGCGAAGGTTGCGGTGAGCGGAGATTGCACCATTGCACTCTAGCCTGGGTGACAGAGTAAGACTCTGTTTCAAAAAAAAAAAAAAAAAAAGCTGAATATGGTGGTTCATGCCTGTAATCCCAGCACTATGGGAGGCCGAGGCAGGTGGATCACCTGAGGTCAGGAGTTCAAGACCAGACTGGCCAAGATGGTGAAACCCCATCTCTACTAAAAATACAAAAAAAATTAGCGGGCGTGGTGGCGGGTGCCTGTAATCTCAGCTACTCGGGAGGCTGAGGCAGAGAATTGCTTGAACTCGTGAGGCAGAGATTGCAGTGAGCCGAGATCGTGCCACTG